GTGCTTATGATTGATCACAGCTGGTCCAGCTTTAGCTAACACATGATTCACCAGTAGGATGATTCCTAGCTTACAATAAATAACCAAAGTTTCTCACTTCAGTTATCTTTGTCTTGAAGAAGAATTCCACCATTCCACCCCTACTCTTTTCTTTTTCTTGATAGGGTGGCCCAGTGGTTTGTCTTACAGCAAGAATGTCACTGGTTTAATTCCTTACCAGGCTAGTCGACATTTCTGTGCGGATTTGACATGTTCTCCCCATGCTCGCGTGGGTTTTCCCCGGTTCCTTGGTTTGCCTTCCACAATCCAAAAACATGCAACATAGGTGAATTGACCTAACCAAATTGGCACCATAGATGACCAATAGTATATCTCTGCTTGGCAATCCCTAATTTGCCATTAGCCATAAATAAGCAGGGAGTTCTCAGACCTACCTGAGCTCAAACTCCCCTCTCTCCCTGCAAACGGGGGCAATCTTATAAGCTCAGGGCTCTCTCCCAGGACAGCATGCCAAACATGCTTTATAATCAGTCATCAGCTAAGTGTGAACTCTTTTTTTTTTTTGTAAACAATTGTTTTTATTATTTCAGTTTTTGTTTAATATAGACAACATACAGCATATGACCATATCATAAAACAACCCCGAATCATCAACCCCCCACCCAGGTAGACTTGTTCTATAATAACAGAAATTTAAAGGTTGCTGTGTTTAAAATAAATAAATAAATAAATTAAAAATACAGAGTAAAAGTTAGGTCAGTAAAAATAAATAACTATTATATCACATGATACATAAAGACCATATAAACAGAAAAGCTGTACATTAGAAGAAAGAAACAAAGCTAAGTGTGAACTCTTGAAGTACCTGTGATGCTCAGGTTTACGTCTAATGAAGCACACTTACACAAAAGATTTAAAATCGAAATCAAGGTAATGTGGTTGCACACTTTAAAAATGGGGTTATTTCTTTTACCCAAATCTTGGGTTAAGGCATTTGGGTAAATTTTGGGGGTTAATTAAAGAGTGTTGGGTAGTTTAAACCCAGCTCTTTGAGTCAAATCAACTCACAGCAGGGGCTGACTGGGATACCACATATTATATAGTAATTTGTTTAAATGCAATGAAAATAGTGTAGCATAAACGCAGATTCCTTGCATTTTCAGATAATTAAAATGAGATTTATGCTCATAGCAGCCTTTAGTCAGATCTTTCTGAATTAAAAAAATTCTTACTAGCACCTTTTGAACACCAGTAATCAAAGCTGCTTCAGTGATGCCGAGTCAACACAATCACTGGGTCATCTTTTACGGGCATTTTTGGATCAAATTAACCTATTGTTTACGTTAAAAATAACCAATTATTGGGTAGGAAAAACAACCCATTTATGAGGTTAAAAATAACAACCCAATTACTTGGGTTAATTTAACCCCTGATGTGTTCTGTCCTGTATTTACCCAGCAGTAGGGTTAAAAACAACCCAATTTGGGTAGTTTTTAACCCTGTGTTTTTTCAGTGTGCAGTCCACTGTTTTCAGTTGATTCCTAATTATTGGATTTCTGGACAAGTTTAGGTCAACAATTCACTAAGGGATCTGTATGATAAGCCTTACTTTCTAGTGGATGTGTTCAAGGAGGATGTGTATCTGAAATGTATAGCACACATTTTATGTTAACAAGCAAAAAAAATGCTTTCCCTCACAAATTCAAATTGAACAGTGTCTTGACCTGCAGGCTAAATTGATCTTATTTTGACAAATGATGCAGAGAGGCTTTTACTGCATTCTCATAGTAACTATTATAAGTATGGTGATAAAGCCAGTCATCTCTTAGCACACCAATTAAGATGTCAGCTAGTCAATCGATTCCACAAATTCAAGTTTCAGTTGCTAATTTTGTATCTGAACCTGAAGAAATTAATGCCATTTTCAAATCTTTTTATTCAACTCTTACATCTGAAGCTCCACCTGACCTATAGGCTATGATTTTTTTTTTTTACAAAGTTGAAATGTCATCAGCAGATGCCACAATTCTTGATGCCCCCTAGACATTAATGAAATAATTTTGGCAATTAAAACTATGTGCTGCAATACAGCCCTGGGGCCGTACGGCTTTCTGGTTGTATGTTTTAAGAAATTTCAGAATAGTCCCCTACTTCTATCAGTGTATAGAATCCCTAGAGCATGGTTACTTACCAGAGATACTCACATAAGCATCTATAATTCTCCTTTAAAAAAAATATATATAAAAATTAGAAATTATGTAACTCATATTGTCCTCTCGCTTTGCAAAATATAGATGCCAAAATACTGACCAAAATATTAGACTCTCGTCTTAAAAATGTACTTCCTAAAATTGCTGTATACAGGTGTGTGAATGTGTTTTGCACCATATTCACTGCAACAATAGTAGCAAAGAATGAGATGAAAGATGAGTTTCTTTATTTATTATTCAACCCATTAGATTTGTGCGCCTGCACTGAAAGATTTGAAAAGGTGCAAATGTTGCATTGTGTTTGTTGGAGACAAAAAAATACCTACACATTTGCAAGTTTGCTCTGCCAGTATAAATTTACCGATACACATATTTGCCTATTCTATACAACTACAAATTACACTTTTACAGATGCTTGGGAGTTTTGCGCCAAAATACCTTCATACAGACTTGAGACGCAGAAAGCAGATAAAAACAAAACAAAAGGCAAAAAATAATGTATATAAGAAAATAACAGGGTTTTCTTTTTCTGGATTGCTTTAGAATACTCTGTCGGCTGGGTTTAGGGAAGGGGTGATCGAGTCAACCGGTACATTCTGAAAACACTATCAGTAGGGTTTAGGGAAGGGGGTAGGTGGTGGCTTTGGTCAGTCAGCCAGTCGACAGCTATCTCTGATGAATTTGCACGAGAACATTAGGCGCAAATGGCACTCGCTAGAGAAATTTGAGATCTCAAAAAGTGTACACAGCAGCTTCCGATAACTTTCCGAAAACAAAAACTGCAAAAAAAAAAAAAAAAAAGGAGTTCTTAGGACGTATTTCGGGATCTCCAGAAATGTAAATAGGGGTACATATCAATAATGAGCCTGGATTGCCCTCATCCTACACTCTCAGAATAAAGGTACAAGAGCTGTCACTGGGGCAGTACCTTTTCTAAAGATACATATTTGTCCCTGAAGGGTCCATGATGGTACCTCCAAGATACTTTTTAGGTACATTTGGGCACTTAAATGCATCTTTCAAGTACCACTGTGGACTTTTTGGGTACAAGTATGTATCTTTCAAGAGTTCAAACTTATCTGATGATCAATAAAACATAATTGACATTCTGTACCAGGAGAGAGCCTTGAGCTCGTAATATGCTTGAGCCCGGAGCTCCATCCCGTTAGAAGGGCAAGAGGGCAGTTCGAGCTCAGGTAGGTCTTGAGAACTCCCTTGCTTGTCGGCGTGTGAGAAGTGTAAACTAAGGTTGTCCTAGGTGATAATTTTGTTTAGTCGATTGGCTATGGTGTATGTTTTTGGACGATGGGAGGAAACAGAGGAACCTAGGGGAAACCCACGCTGACACGTGAGAACATGCAAACTCTGCACAGAAATGCCAATCAACCCAGTAGGAGGTTGGACCAGCTGTGTTCTTGCTGTGAGGTAACAGTTCTAGCCACTGGGCCGCCGTGTCGTCCTATCGGAAAAAGGGTGGGAAGTAGGGATGGTAGTAGGGTAAACTTCAAGATGAAGATAACTGAAGTGAAAAGCTCTGGTTATTTATAATGAAATAGAGGTGATTACGAAGCTAATGAGGTGCCAGCCATGTTGATAATAAGCATGTGATCCTCTTGAAATGAGTTTATAAATAAACCGCACTTTAAAAAAATACTCACCTGCGACAGCTCCTGTACCTTTATTTCTAAGAGTGTAGAGTATGCTAAATATGTTCTAAATATATATTTGACAAAAGTGTTAAAAAAAAAGATAACTTGTTTTGACCACACTTTTTTCTAATTTCATCAACATCTGTTTAAAATTATTTTCAAAGATTTTCTGAAAAAAATCTCAGTTAAGTGGGTAGAGACAAGTAAGGCTTTTCACATATAGTATTCAGACTGCACAGGCAATACATGACTTAAAAGCTCAAAGACGTACTTTAGAGTACGTTTGACTGCAGTTTTTAGATAAATTAAACACTACCAGGCAGTGTGACGCCAACAACTTTTTCACCTTTTCACACTACTGATACTTACAAGGATATACTATTAAGGAATGAGGGATCATTTTTGCAATTCTTTGCAAAACACCAAATAAATACCACAAAACAACTTGAATGTGTCAATCATTTGTAGATATATTTACATATTCATCTGCTTATCTCTATATAGAAGACTTTGCCATGGTCAGTTTTTGTGGTAGCTTTCATTGTTTTCAGTTTGAGTCCATGTCCGGTGAATGACAATTCTAGAAAACGTTAAAGCAATGTAAAATTGTGTTAAAACTATTCAGCAATTCTACACTTTGCAAAAAAAAAAAAAAAGTTTTTATGTTTTTATTAGTCCAATCCACAACATGGATGTAAAATGATTTCCAATATTTATTTTGTCCACTTTTGACTACTTCCAGACCAACTTTCCAAAAACACATTTAATCAGATTGCTTTGGCCAAAAAAAATAAAGCTACCCATGAAAAAAAAGTACAGAACTGTTTGTTTGAGAAAGCAAAGGTCCATCTTCAGATGTTTTCATAAATCACTAGAAAGACCAACAATGAATTGAATAAAAACTGTATACTATTCGCCCTCCCAGCATTCTCGATCCAGTAGTGTATATGTTGTGTTTCTGTGGAGACTCTTCCATTCTGCTTGGAATACTGGAGTCCTGATTCGTTACAGAGCTACTTTACAGAATTCCACGTTTCCCTGGTTTCTTGCCTGGGCATGTCATTCCCTGTCTGCTCTGCAACGCTCTCTTTATTCGTCACACTTTTGAGCAGAGATCTAAAAGAGTTTTCCTTTCTTAGCACGATTGTCTCTGACAGAGGTGGGCAGAATGTAGTCTCAGAAAGGTGGAGGTGTCTCTCAATTTCAATGAGGTGCAGTATGTGAACTATTCTTACCTTTAAGAGCCAGAATAATTTATATACATTCTCAGACATGTTTTTGCCATAATTTACAGATAGTATCAACTAAAATGTAATCCAATTGTTTATATACCAAAATATGTATTATACATTTATTTAGCCCACTCTCTCATCTCTTTATACTTACTTTTTCTTTAATCCATGAGAAAGAACCACATCTGACACCATGTTTTGTTTGTACTGTTTACTAACAGACCGAACACATTCAATCCTTTTCAGTACAGCCATCTTTATTGTTTTGCTTCCTTGAACACAGCCCCTTAAAGCCCTATAAATAACAGCACAGCCGCTGTGTACATTTTTTTTAGATCTCAAATTTCTCTCGCGAGTGCCATTCGCGTCTGCTGTTCTCTTGTAAATCCAATGTCAACTGACTGGCTGACCAATCAACTGACTTAGTCTCCTCCTTCCCTAAATCCAACCAAGAGTGTTTCAAAGGCACAAAGATTTTGACATTATTTCCATCATTATTTCAAACTGTTTTCTGTAGTTATTCCAAGTATAGGATGTGTCTACACACAAATGCAAACACCTCTATGTGAACAACAAATAACATAAGAAGTCAGCAGTAGGGATATGATGCGTTAACATGCATTTGCTGTCAATTTGTCTCTGCATCATATCTGCACCAGCATAACATCTAACACAGCTTTATTGTTGCTGACATGGGGAATAATGAAAAGGCAGACAGCGTCTTTCTTATCCTTTCACACAGCACAGAAAACAACAAGAAGAAGATAGTACCATCAAGCAAACAACTGCTGCCTGATTCTGACATAAAACCTACAAAAGTTCAAAGGCAGATTCGACAGATGAAGAATGCATCCTGCTTCACATATATGTTGCTCTGTTACAGTCAATCAAAACATCTAGACATACTATCTACAAACTGCAGGAATCCTCCATGAGCATCCCTAATTGATTGATAGATAGATAGATAGATAGATAGATAGATAGATAGATAGATAGATAGATAGATAGATAGATAGATAGATAGATAGATAGATAGATAGATAGATAGATAGATAGATAGATAGATAGATAGATAGGTAGATAGGTAGGTAGGTAGGTAGGTAGGTAGGTAGGTAGGTAGGTAGGTAGGTAGTAGGTAGGTAGGTTGGTTGGTTGGTTGGTTGGTTGGTTGGTTGGTTGGTTGGTTGGTTGGTTGGTTGGTTGGTTGGGTGGGTGGGTGGGTGTGTGGGTGGTTGGTTGGTTGGTTGGTTGGTTGATTGATTGTGTGTTCATACTAACACTGCTTAAAACTTTACATAGAAAAAGCTGGATACCATCCAATTATTAATGTAGTACTTTTTTATTTCTCTAAAGCAACAAGTAGAATATTTAAACAAGAGTTTTATATCAGATCAAGTGGAAGTTAACCTTTAACTGGAATTTTACCTACTTATTTGAAAGTTTGCTTGGAGTTGTGTGAATGTTAAAGGCACCGTTCATCCACAAGTGGAAATCAGGTCATTATTTACTCAACCAGATGCTGTTTTAATAGACTTATTTTATGTATAAATAGTAAATATTTACCTTAACTTTCATTAATTATTTAATTAATTTATTTATATATAATTTTTCATGCACAAAAAAGGATTAAAATTATAATGTATTGTGCGTCATTTTTTAATCAATTTTGGCTATTTTACCGGGCAAGTCGAAGTGAATTCTCTCAGAAAACCAAATGCGGTTATTACTTAAATATTTCATCACATTTTAGGTTTGCTTTCCACCTATTTTGGAAATAGGTGGAAAGCACTGCTACTGTGCTACTGCGTGTCGCGCCCCTCACCAGAGACGTGGTAAGATCTTTTTTGTTGAGTCGTTTTCGATAGATTTCTTCATAGTGGAGGTTTTCCACATAGCAATAAAGTTCGTAACGGAAATGCTATTTTCCTTCATCCCTGAATAATGAGATTTATGAATGTTAATTTAATAGTTTATTAATCATTTACTTACTTATTCTGAAGGATCTTAAAATCCTCCAACTACTTTTAACGCTCTACTGCACGCCTTATGATAGATCTATAAATAAATTTTGTTGTTTGAAATGATTTATTTGGTGTTGCAGTATTTTAAACTTTAACACAGAACTTATAAGTAACACCTCATACATTCAATTCAATTCAATTCAGCTTTATTTGTATAGCGCTTTTACAATGTAGATTGTGTCAAAGCAGCTTCACATAAATGGTCATAGTAACTGGAACAGTGTAGTTCATACATCCTTTCCAACAACTCATATTCCGACAGCTTTCATTTATTTTAAACTCTTTTTTGCTGAATATTATTAAAAACAAATATAATATTGTATTTTCATGTATACAACATACAGTAATTATAAATATTTTCTCCAGTAAATATTATAACAAATAAGTAACAAGTCTAGTATATTAAGATGCATCAGAATAATCTAGAAACTAGCTAACAAAGTTTATATATTATTCTATATACTATACTACGTCTTTCTTATCTGCCTCGGAGCGAACTTACTTTAACTGTCTCCATCACTGCTCTTATTAAATGTTCAATTTTATTCTCTGTTTTTATTGACGTTTACATTTGCATTCAACTACTCACATTAAACGCAGTCTGTCAGAAATTGCGCTACAGAAAAACACTGCATGTCATGTGACTTAACCAAAGCATATCATTGGTTAGACTAAGGTCTTCTCTTTCCAACAACAAAAATCAATGTTGGTCTTAAAGAAACAGTGGCAAGGAAATGAACATAAATATCATGTTACCATGTGGCAACACTGTTCGGTAGAGGGTTTAATACAAACGGTTTGTTAATAATGTATCACTTCATTTAGTAATGAGAAATAAATCATCAACAAATTATGAAAGTACAATTATTAAGCACATTATAAATGTGGTTATAAGTCAAGTACCCAGCATTTGTAGCTGCAGTTTTAAACTGCTTACTAACTTTTATAAATGTAGAGTTAATGCTTAATCTATAATGAATTCACTAGATGCTAATGCTTTATAAATGGTTCAGAGTGTGTAGTTATTATAAAGTGTTACCCAGTTTTTTGTGTAATGACATGAATATGACATGAGGGTTGAGTGATAAAATATAAATATGAGTTTGGGTTGAGTTCAGGGGTCGGGCAATACAATGAGCAGTTTTTACAGTACTAATTACGCCTATGGAGAGTCTCTCTAAACCACAAATACCAACATATCTCTGTGTGTGTGTGTGCGTATGCATTCATATGTGGATGCATTTATGTGTGTGTGTGCGGGGCATTCAGATCTTAAGCAATTGTGATAGTTGATGAATTACTTTATGGGAATATTAAACCTTCTGGTAAAAACTTGGACATTCGTTCTTTCTCAAAGTTGCACCCATCTGCCAAAGTAAACCCTCCATGAGCCCAGGCCTTCAGCTCTGTTGTCTAAGGCCCTGCTGTTTTCTGAACATTCTGCGTAAAAAAAAATAAATAAATCCAGTGTGGTTTTATTGCATATAATAGAGTATTTCTAATTTGTCACAAGTCCTGGGAAATGGTACAGCATGTAATTATAATATTTCAACTGTTTATGTTGGATTTATTATTTGCAGCTATTTCCTGTATAGCTTTTGGATTATCATCATCAATTTATCAAGACCCTCATATATGAATACATATTAGGAACATTCATTAAAGAGGTAGTTTAACCAAAAACTAAAAGTCTATCATCTTTTACTCACCCTTGACTTGTTCAGAGCCATATTCAGTATTTTTCTCTGTGTTGAACACAAAAGAAGATCATTATTTCATTATTTAAAATGTCATTTCTATGGAAGTCAATGGTTAAAATCATTTACAATTGATTTAACTAAATTATCTAGCAAAATAATGGCAAAGTTAGAACATGTTATATATATTTGACAATTCACAAGTACATGTGACTACACAGGCTGCTGTAATTTGCAATTCTATTATTCAAATATCGGTAACACTTTACAATAACAGTACATAGATAATGATGTAATAATATGTAAACTATGCATTACTTTATTATCAGTGTTATGCAAGTTACTTCCAAACTGTAATACATTAAAGACTACTTGTTACTGTTATTTAAAAGTAATCCCTTACCTTACAATATTACTGTCTCAGAATTGTAAAACGTTACATTACTCCTATATTACTTTTTAGTTACTTTCACTAAAATAACTGCAGAATTAAAACTTAACATTCTAAAATGACCAAAAGTACTGCAGAGCATTTTAGAAAGCGACATGATGTAGCATAATGACTGTGACCTGTCCAGGCTACTAACAGTATAGAATATAATTGGCAACGCGAAGGCTCAAGACTATGCAAGAAAGCATAAGAGCCAGAATCACAAATGATCTAAGTCTGTTAAAAGTATGGTAGAGGTAAAGTGATTATCTGGCAATATCTGTGAATAGTTTGGGTATATTAGACACAACAGGCCTATGTGTAAACTCTAATGTCATGACAAGATGCAGATTTCTTTTCTTATTGATGCCATTATTTTGTTTACTTTAAATTCAAATGGTTCACAACACAAAACTGTCATGCACAAAGTGAGCACGATGAACATAGCTTTCTCAGTATAAAGTGCAGTTAGAGAACCAACCCCTCAACCTGAGTCAATTTAGGCCATAGAAATGAACATATAGGCTAAACATCGCCTAACTGCTTAGAAAAAAAAACAACAACAACAGATGAAACAGAGATTCATATGCCTCAAAAAAGACTATATTAATCCATTGATTGAGAGAAACTTAATTTCTGCTGCTCATCTTTATATTTAAATAAATAAATAAATCATATCAACATTGTGTACTGTCTTTCTGCCATTTTCATCTATTAGCTGCTTTTCCGCTTAACGTTACTGCTAACTGGGGTGAGCCAATGGCCTCTGACCTCAAGCTCAGAGGCTGAAATCATTCCACCTTCAAAGTAAAATGTTCTAATAGCCAGAGG